ACTCTGATACATCCTGTGTACTCTGATACCTCCTGTGTACTCTGATACATCCTGTGTACTCTGATACCTCCTGTGTACTCTGATACCTCCTGTGTACTCTGATACATCCTGTGTACTCTGATACATCCTGTGTACTCTGATACCTCCTGTGTACTCTGATACATCCTGTGTATATGACAAAAAATGGAAAACCAAAGAAATATTGGACAATTACTTCATTAATATCGACGTATTTAATTGAAACAAAATGTTTATATCAGGTCCAGATCCAGACTATGTCAGGCCTAAACTACAGCTATAATCTATAATGTCTATGATAAGGATTTAATGGGTCTATACAGTAGGACCCCCAACAATGACCTCCTGGGCAACAGCGGAGAGGAACAACTCCCTTTGAGGAGGAATCCTCCGACAGAGCAATCCAAGATGGCCGACAAAAAGTCAGTGAACTGTATAAAAAGTAAAAAGTTTAAATAAGAACAATTTAAGACGTAAATGTCACTTTTAATTTAGTGGCGATCCAAGATGGCGGCGTATTCAAATGAATGGTTTATGCTCAGTGGCGCAGGTGCCGGCACGGTCGCTGACATATCAGCGGAACTCGCCTTTATTTGGGCATCGTCTGGTCCTCCCGGTTCTGCGGTCGCCGTTTGACCAATCAGAGCTGATCTGAGCGGAGTCAGAGCGGGAAGGAAAACAGCAGAGTTTGTGGCACTAAAGTGTGGATTTAAAGAAAACCGAAGGATTTAAGAAGAAAAAAAATTCAGGACGACAAGGGACACTAAAATCCACACAAAACCAGACCTTTATGAAAGCTGTAGGTTCTCTGTCAGGTTCTCTGTCAGGTTCTCTGTCAGGCTGTCCTCAGTCTCTGTGCCGTTCTGAAGCATGAGGTTTAGGATTATTGCTGCCACACGAGTCATGAAGTCATGAATGTTTCTCTGGACAGGGCCCTAATCTGAATGTTACTCCTCCTTCCCCTCCTCTCCTCTCTCTCTCTCCTTTCATCCCTCTCTCCACTCCTCCCCTCTCTTCTTTCCTCTCTCTACCCTCCTGTCTCCTCTTTCCTCGGTCTGCTCCAAATCAGAATCTAAAATAGTGCTCAGGCCGGGGGTCACACTCAGCCTCCTTCACAGACCTCCTGCAGACACTGCATCAGTCTCATCACAACTGTCAAGGGGACATGAATGGTTTTTTAATATCTATCTGAGAGAAAGAGAGAGGGAGAGAGCCCAGAGAGAGAGAGAGATCAGAGAGAGGGGCCAAAGAGAGACCAGGAATAGAGACCAGAGAGAGAGAGACTAGAAAGAGAGGCCAGTTAGAGAGAGCAGAGAGAAAGGTTAGAAAGACCAAAGACACCAGAGAGAGGCCAGAGTGAGACCAGAGAAAGACAGGCCAGAGAGAGCCTGAAGAGAGACCAGAGAGAGCCTGAAGAGAGACCAGAGAGAGCCTGAAGAGAGACCAGAGAGAGCCTGAAGAGAGACCAGAGAGAGCCTGAAGAGAGACCAGAGAGAGCCTGAAGAGAGACCAGAGAGAGCCTGAAGAGAGACCTGAGAGAGACCAGAGAGAGACCAGAGAGAGAGACCAGAGAGAGAGACCAGAGAGAGAGACCAGAGAGAGACCAGAGTGAGACCAGAGAAAGACAGGCCAGAGAGAGCCTGAAGAGAGACCAGAGAGAGACCAGAGTGAGACCAGAGAAAGACAGGCCAGAGAGAGCCTGAAGAGAGACCAGAGTGAGACCAGAGAAAGACAGGCCAGAGAGAGCCTGAAGAGAGACCAGAGTGAGACCAGAGAGAGCCTGAAGAGAGACCAGAGTGAGACCAGAGAGAGCCTGAAGAGAGACCAGAGAGAGACCAGAGAAAGACAGGCCAGAGAGAGCCTGAAGAGAGACCAGAGTGAGACCAGAGAGAGCCTGAAGAGAGACCAGAGTCAGACCAGAGAAAGACAGGCCAGAGAGAGCCTGAAGAGAGACCAGGGAGACAGAGAGGCCCGAGAGAGAGACTAGCTTATGTTCGAATCCCCCACTTCCACATTGAGGTTAACACTAAAGACAGAAGGACACAGTTTTCATAAAGACACTTTATTGGAGTATACATCTGTGGATATAGTTCTGTTATAGTGATATAACTAGGGGATATATTAAATAGATAATGTTAATATATATTTATAAAACTATTCAGTCTACGGTTGTCTTTAAAAACTGAGGGATGAGAAACAGGACCGTGGCTTTGGGTTCACGGCAGAACCCCACGTCTGGAGCAGTCACGGCAGCCGTCAGTCCAGAAACCAGAGCACTTTGATCTCAGTACGAGGCTCTTGTGATTGTAGCTCATCCAGACACAGTTTTGGCCTGAGTTCAAGTTGTTACAGTTTAATCTGCTGATAAAATGTAAAAACTTTGTCCTTTTCGTCCCAAACTCTTTCATCCTGAACATTTGACACAGGAGCTAACACCATAGACTGTATATGAAAGGACAATGCTAACCTGCTAGCTCAATGCTAACCCAACGGGGAAGCTCTCTCTGGCTCCTACTGACTTCCTCTAACTCCGTAATCACCATGTTTGGGCTTAAATCTGTGCTTTTTCGCTCTCTGAGATTGTAATGTGTTTTGATTTTGTATTTCTAAATCCAGATCTGAGCCATATAGATATTGACCAATCAGAGGCCTTAATTCGCTGGGAAAACTTCAGCTTGTCTTAGCAACCATCTTAGCAACACATTTGTTACAACGCAAAGCTAATGCCATCAAAACAAACGCCCATATAAGGAAATTGGCTCCTGTAGGCTCATGTTGAAATTGGCTTCTTCCGCATTAAGGCTAACACCGTTGTGATCCTCATACACAGGCTATGGCTAACACGCTCCCACACATCAGTAATTTTCCAAAAAACTCAGTTCAAAAGCTCATATCAAAGTTCCTCAAAAGGTACAAACTTCTAAATGGTTAAATTCTCAAAACGTACATTTGTGATTTTGGACTTTCCCACCAGCGCAGTGCAAGCCTCACTTCTTCCCATTGATCGAGCCTTTTGTCGGAAACACACAGGAATGATACGATTTATTTAATTTTAGCCCTTAATCCAAAGCCACTTATAATTTGACCGGTAGTTTTCACCTCAAAGCGTTTCATAGTAAGCAAGCATTTTTATTTATCGTCATTTCTTGACTATAAGCCGCTACTTTTTCCTAGTATTTTGATTTCTGCGGCTAATTTAGCGATGCAGCTGAAATGTGTATTATTCTTGTGGAGGAGTTGGACTATTGTCAGAGCAGAGTTTATGGACTTATTACTTTGATTCAGTTTTAGTAGCTGCAGGACACTGGTTTATTATCAAAACAAATGAAGGTGAATGAGTTACGGAAGCAGTTAAGCTGTTAAACACACTCACTCATTGACTGCAGCCGTTTTTGATGATTCCACTGATTCTCAAGACCCACAGAATATTATGTGCTATGACAATGTGAAATATGAAACCAGATTCTGAAAGACTGGACTGTCTACTTTCACCAGCAACAATAATTTTGTTTGTGGCTAGTTTTGTTCTCGTGTATACCCCAGTCGAATAGAGGTCTCAGGCAAATACGTCGACAGCAGTCAATGAGTTAATCATGTCTTTGTCATGTTTACGCCGAATACAGAATGTTGTAGCATCTGTCACGTTAAAAATTTAAATCCGCGGCTTGTTTTCCAGATTGCGCGGCCTTTATGTTGCTGGTGCGGCTTATATTCAGGTGCGGCTTATAGTCCAGAAAGTACATGTATTTAAGGCTGTAATAAAAGCTGGCAGTAGACAAGACGTTTGCGTTTGTTGGTCCATTGACGTTGATGCGTGACCCTGTTCCACCGATCCAGACTGGGCTTTAAAAAGGAAGAAAAGACCTCCGCAGCGACTTAAAGAAGAGATATTATGGATTATCTGTGTCCAATAAAATAATAATGAGACTTTTAGAATGTGACCCGGTGTCATCAGTAGAGAATACTTTATTATTATTATATGTTGTGCGCTGCAACAGTGACATTTCCCCACTGTGCGATGAGTAAATGTTTTTATCTCTGACAGACAAACGTTAATTTACACAAAGTTGGGTTTTTGTTTGAGCTTTGTATCTTGTTTTAATGTTTACTTTTGTCTTTTTGTGTCTGAGGTGTAAAATGTTGACGTTTAAATGCAATAAAATAATAAATATGCACATTTAAATATTCAAAGAGGAAGTAAGTAAATAATAATAATGATAAATATATTAAATTATCTACGTATACACATTTTGATGTAATAAATGGAACAAATATTAATACATGATGATAATATACATACATTTAAAATATATATAAATTACGCACAAAA